TTTTTGAACCTAGTAAATATAGTGATTTTTAGAGGAAAATCATCTAGCTCCATGCTTTTCTGCTTCTCCACGTGGTGCGCAGCGATACTTATTAGCTTAACTTCAAGAATTTCTTCAGATCTCTAGAATGTCTTGTGGAGGAAATATTAGTAATAAAGTTCTCTTCGAGCGTTGTATAATTCCAAGGTTTTAGTTTTACTAATAACGTTGGTTAGAGACGTTTAGTGATATTAATTGTTTTATCTAGAACATCTGTTGTAAATAACGATCTGTCAATAAAATCTATAACACGGAAAAGGATCGAAAATAGTACCATAAATAGTGATTGGAGAATTCATCGAAAATCTGTGCGATCCACGTGAGTAGTCACATTTTGTTATGATAAATTCTTATGATAAAGTGTCTTGTTTTCATGTTAACTATGGATCATTGTGGATTACTTCGCATGCCTATACTATATATCTATGCCTTCTTACAAATATTTTTCGGATCCGCCGGCGATCTTTAAGAAAAATTCTTTTGAAGTACGTAGTAATGTGCCGTAAAGAATTTCTATTGGACATTTCTGATGGACAAGCCTCTAAATTTCTTTTATAAAATCTAATAATAGAATAATGATAGATGAATGATTATCATTTCTTCGATACTTATATTTTTTAAAATAATGCCACGCCATTCCACTGAAAGATAAATTTGTGAGATCTATATTTTTTCCCACATGCTCAAACATGTGTGCAGTTATATGTTTCTTTTATTCCTAAAAAACAATTATTCATATTTATTTTGACCCTCTCCATTTTTTTCAAGTAATTTTTTTCATAATTTAAGTTAATTTTAGAAAGTCTCGTTTTTAATTACGAGCAATTCAGATTTATCCGAAAATGCGCGCTTTTTCAAAAATTTGATACAATTTATTCTAGTTCCATCAAGAATTATTATTTTTAATTCTTGATGTGAATTATTAATTATTATTAATTCACCAAAAAATTATTATTTTGATGCAGGTACTTTTGATAATTTCTAATTGAAAAAATTCATCTTTTATTAAAATTTATTATAAAATTGTTTAAATTTAAATAATTTGCGTCTAATCTAAAATTGCAAAAAATTTATCATAAGTAACAGTGGGTAATTCATTGAATATTATCCGCAATTAACATTGTGTGCATGCTATTTATTTTATACAAGAGAAGGATGATCCTCAGGTATCTTTTCCTAGAAGTTTAGGTACCTAGAATGATTGATCTTTCTTTAACCTGCGACCTGACTGTCTTCTACAGGACGATTTTAGATCAATATCGTACACACGGTAATCCACGTAACTTCAAACATAAAGCTAGCGCTGTTCTGGGCCATGCAAGATAGCACGCGCGTTGCAACTTGCAACTGCAGCGTGCAATGAGATATCTTGTGTGTGTGCCACGGGCTTTATTCCGCCTCTCGCACGGAGCCACGTGTACGTACACACCAATAAAACGAGGGTGGCACACGTACGAGGCGAAGCTTACAGAGAACGGAGGCGAGCGGAAACGCCCGCTCGTAACGGAACCGAAGTGGTTGTCGGGGAATTTGCAATTCCCATCGGGCATTCGGCCGCTCTCTCGAATTTTGGAAAATTCCATCGCGAAACCCCCCGGCGGGCCGGTTAAATCGCGCTACTTACATCGATCGATCGCGCAACGAAGCAGCTAACTCCCCTGGCGTTCAAGACACGCTTCATTGTGATTTGGATCTAAACGATCCGCGAGATCGCGCGATATATCGTTTAGTATCACATAACTTACAAGATAAAGTGACGCAATATCGAGATGTTTGATCAAATGCGCATGTATACAAAAAACCATAATAAATAGAAAAAAATAAAATAAAATTGTCGACAATATAATTTAATTTCATTTAATTTAATAAAGAATTTATAATAAGTTTATACATGAAAAAAATTGCCATATTGCGATTATTTTTTCACAAAAATATTAGACAAATGTTTTTTGCTGACTGATTGTTTTCTTTCTACCTACGTATCCATAAAAAATTATCTAACTGACTGAAGCAAGTCTTTCGACTAATCCTAGGAAGTACTCTTTTGTTAGAATACGTTTTCTACTTTTAACTGCTTTTAACTATACCCAACCTTCGAAAATACAATATAATCCCCGCAATGCACACAAAGTGAATTCTTTGGAGAGAGAGAAAGAGAGAGAAAGAGCGAATAAACGAGAGAGAGAGAGAGAGAGAGAGAGAGAAAGCGGGGGAGGGGGGAAGAGAAAAAAGAATCTCCCATAAATAATGTTTTTGTTCTCCAGTTAAATCGTGAAAAAAGTGGAAACGGATATTCAGCATTGGATTATTGTAAATTTTAGAAAATTCAAGTTCGAAAAGGAGCTGATATTTCCCATTTCTTTCCGAAACTCTGCTTTTTCTATCAAGTTTGGTTATCGACAATTCTCACGCGATTCCAGTTTTGTTCGCGTTTTCCTCGCGTGTCGCGTAGTCAATGGTGGCCAATAAAACGACCTGGCGAAGCCAGGTAATTGATGTATCGTCTTGACTGGCACGACCGTTCGACCTCCCCTGTATTTTCTAACGTCAGGCCAAACCGTGATCATTAGTTAGTTGACGCTTAGGCACCTCCTTACAGTTCCTTCCCCCGACTTGTCGGCTCAGAAGGATCAGGTCATAAGGTCTTATGGTGAACTTGTGGTTGATTGCTATAAGCAGCGTAGTTAACCAACCAAGTTAAGTGAACGCTCTTCTTCTGCATAATTTTAGGCATGTCATAAATTAAAAATTTAGCAAGCAGCAACAGGATTCATGTTTCGTAACAATAAAAAATGCGCTTACTCTGATCTAATTCCGATTTTATCGGAAAACAGATGCAACTTTTCGGAAAAAATATTTTCGTACTAACCACTGCTTCAAATAAATTTTTTGTTTAAAGTTCACTTTAAAAGCGATTTATAATTCGCATCAGATTTCACGATATAATTCTATGTGTAATATTAATTGTGCCGTAATTTGATATACGTATTTTAATATGCGTATAGTGTTTAATATGTGTATTTTTATATATTTTACATAATATATATTCTTTTAATATTTTTCAAATTTTTCGAATAATACATAAAATTATAAACATATAATAGAACTCCACCGTAAATTGAAACAAATTATTGATCTTCTAAAATGGAGCATTTAAAAATATAATTGTCGCTTTCAACCATTATCAATAAGAACTTAGCAATACACACGAACGTTATATTTTATATTTCACAAATGAATTAAATACGTTTTTAGAAATGTTATTCGAAATATATAGAATAAAATTAAAGAATTATAGAATAAAAAACTAAAAACTATTTGTTAATTTTATATAAATAATATATTTGTAAAAAGTAATCAATCTCGTTTAAAAATGTATATCTCATTTCACTTGATAATATCTATTCGGCATGAATGAAATATTGATAAACTAATTTTTCTTAATAATCTATATTACTTCCTATACTTATGACGCAAGTGAAAATCGGTTTTCTAAGCACGAAACATGAATTCTATAAACGCGTTCGAGGGTCAAGATGAATTGACGCATTTTAAACGTATTGCAGAGAAAACGTGAGGAAGAATTCGATCATCGAGCTGTGTTCCCGACTGCGGAATATCAGATGCACGCGAAAGCGCGGTATAATTCATTCCAATTTCGACACACAATTTGTTATCCGCTTGGAATACAATTCGTACTGTATTACAGTGCCGAAACTGCTGTCACAGAATTTTTAGATTTTATGATACGAAACTTGTTTAAAATGATTCTCTAACAAATAGTGCCTTGAAGTATTATATCCTTAATATATGTCTTATATAATTATTATATCCCTAATATAGTATTAGATTTTTTATTAAACTATCTTCTTACGTATAACCTTCAACTGACGAGAACTTCTTGAGCTTGATCTCAAAACGGAGTTTTTTTTAATCTAAAAAGCAAGATTCTTTGTTAAAATAATCGTAATCAAACAACACGAAGTATTTTAATAAATTAAAGATAAATTTGATTTCGAAAAATTCAGAATTTTTAAAAAGAAAATAAAAATTTGGTAAGTCAATATGATTAAAAAAGATAAGATAAATAAAAAGTCCTATTGAAAAGACCTTTCGATAAGAAGATAAGAAGCTATTCAGAATTTTTAAAAAAGGGGATAAGAATCTGCTAAGTAAAAAGTCTTATCGGCATGACTTTTCAGGAAGAAGATAAGATAGCTTAATATATTAGGGCATCTCGTGTTATTTTGTTACAATTATTTTAATCATCTTGCATTTTAAGCATTAATCTTGAGCTCAAGCTTATCTGGTCAGTAAGTTATAGCGAACGAACTTTCGTCTCAGTGCACTGAGGCCATATCATAATTTTGCGTTCCCTGAATAAAGCATGGCCAAAAATAACAGTATTCTATCATTTTCAAAATTTTAAAATATTACATTCCGTTTCACACGTAATAGCAAGACGTCGACACAAAACGAATCTTCGCTGACGATATAAATTTTCCTTATTGAACATCGACTGAGCTTGACTTCGTAGTGTTAGCGATATTCTCGCTGAATTTATCGCGTATATCGCGATAATGTTGAAAGCGAGATTCTTTTTAGCAACATACGTTGTTAAAAAATCAGACCAAAATATAATTAGACATGAACATCTGATAAATTAGACGATCCAAACGATAGGATTTGCATATAGAACGAAAGCGCGAACAGTTTATGAGATCAATTTATAAAGATTTATAAAGATCGATAATATTGGAGCGCGAAAGAGATTGACCAGAGGTCAATTGAAATTAATACGGTATCCTTAATTAAAACATTTTCTTTTCGTTAAACCATTTCTATGATATATATATATTTTCCCAAATGCTTTCCCTAAACTCTTGGTAAGGTTACTTACACATCGTAATAATAAACAAATATTGTAACAGTAGAGTTTAAAGCTTGTTAGTCACGCAGCATTCGTGGTAATTTGAACAGTTAACGTCTGCTCTCGAGAACTATCACATCACGTTATCATTATAGAAGACTCGATTAACGATGGAAAAAAACTCTGTGAAAAAACATAGAAAGGTAATATATATGATACATATAAAAATCATTAAAAAATAACATATGCATAAAAAATATGGCATATACGATTCATTCTGTCACACTTGCAAGCATATAGAAGCATTACCATTAAAATTATATCTTTTTAGCATTTACCCATGATAGAGATACAAACAAATTTAAGGGGCGATAAAGATCCGATTCCTCAAGACAATATTGGAGATTTGATTTTGAATGCATTTAAATCTAGGCCGAATTTCGTAGGACAGGTAACGTTTTCTAACAACAAAAATTTGTGTGCCAAACGGTAGAGAAGAGGAATATTCGTTAATAAACGCGAGAATATATAAATTAAATACTATTAGATAAAATATGCAACATTAATTAATAATAATGCGGCTCGCAGGTGGATGTGGAAACGGAGGAGCGACTTACGTTTCAACAGATGAGAGAGAATAGCGTGAAATGTGCATTATGGCTAAAAAAAGTAGGCATAAAAAAAGGCGATGTAATAACAATATGCACGCGGAATTTGTCGACCGTCTATACGCCGTTTTTAGCGAGCATATATATCGGCGCTATTGTAAATCCGTGGGAGGAAAAGTATTTCGAAGGTAGATTTGCCATTTTTGTTTGAAATTCAGCAAATAATTTCTTATCACACCAATGTCCACTTATTTAAATCTTACTTATTCAAATATTTCTAGATATAATACGAGTTATGTATTTCCTGGTGATAAATGAGCCAGACTTGATCTTTGTCGATCACGATCACTTTTTTGAGCTCCTCTCGGCCATAGCCATCTTAAAAAGTATTAAAAAAATAATTAAAATCGTAACCATCGGTGAGAGTAAATCTTCAATAAAATTTAACTCTCTGGAAGCTATTCTGAACTACGACTTTGATAAGGACGAAGTCGACAAGTTTTCGTGCGAGAAGAACGATATAATGGACACCGCGATTAGGACATTTTCGTCTACTGCATTAAATTATCCTGGTCAGGTGAACGTCCCTTACGTAGCATTCGTATCGCCATCTAACAGGCAGACACCTGTTATGTCTCCCGGTGACATTGGTCTGTGGTACGAATCTTTGTGTTGGACTCACAGTCCTCTTTTGACCGTTCACTCCATACTTTCATACGTGACAGCGATAAAACCTGTGGTGTTCAGCGAAGAAAATTTGTTTAAGACAATAGAGAAGTACAAGGTAATATTCGAAAATGTTATCCGAATTGTTTTGAAAGTGCATATAATATCTACATGTGCTCTCTAGGTAACGTGGGTGTTTCTTGAGAGCAGTACGTGCAATCAATTGATTCAAACCGATGCTTTTTTTATGTGCGACATATCTTCCTTGAAGACACTTTTATTTGATAATTGGGAGATAAAAAAGGACATTCATGGGTCACTTCTCGCGTTGCTGTCAGATGTTTCTGTCGTTCGAGTATACAGTGTGTAAATTCTTATAATTACATTTGTAACTAATAATTAATGAAGTTGCAACGAAGAAAATTTAAAGTGAATGATTTGTGATTATGAACTGTGCAATGGATGCTATTTCAGGTAAACCAGAAATTGGCGTGATCGCTTATCAACGAAAGAATGATGCCAGAGAACAATTTGCAGGTCATGTAGCTAAAAATGTTCAATTAGCGTTTATTACCAAGAATATGAAACAACTGGGCCCGAACCAAACTGGCTTGATTTGTTACAGAAGTCCGTATACAATATATGGTGACAAGCACAAAATAAAAGAACGTACGTGTTGTGATACGAAATATTGGCTCGATAATGCGTAACAGCTTTTTTGTTTAATAATTTTATGACTGCAATTTACATATAACATCACTCAAATTCAGAAGTTATACTGAAAAACTACAGACAATTACAAACCATTAATGAAGAAACGTTTAATACATTTATTGCATATCCTACAGCGTGGTGCTATCTCAAAGATAAGGGCTTCTACAATGAGAACGGCGAAATCTTCATCATAATTGATGGATTTCACCATTTTGTTAGATATAAAAAGACCATTATCATACCAAAATCTATCGAGACCACCTTAAAATATCATCCCTCTGTGTCCGAGGCCATTGTAACAGCTGTGCAACATCCCATTGATATGCAGCATCCGGTGGCTTATATTAAGACAAAACCCGGATTACAGGTTTAAAGCTGGTTACTTCTTTTCGGTAAAGTCAAAAAGAGAAATAGATTTTGAAAAGTTCACGTTGTGTCTTAGGTAACGAAACAAGATCTGATGGAATTCATGAAAGAAGAAGCTCCCGACGAATGTCAACTCCGCGGAGGTGTGCACTTTATTAAAAACGAAATTCCACGGCTTCCCAATGGAAAAATTTATCGACGTCTATTTTGGACTAAAATTAATGACTGAGCGTATATGACGATAATATATATTACTTCTTTTATGATCAGTTGTAGAAATGTATATCGATCTAAACTACGATAATACTACGATAATAATGACATATGATGCTATTTTTAGAAGATCAGATTATATAATACTGAAAATACGAAGCTCCAATATATCAGAAAGTCTTTTCTTATTTTCGTATTGTGTCAAAATTGAAAATACAAAAAGACTTTCTGACCAAACTAATATATTTACGTTTTGTTACTCATGCAACAAAAGACGACGTACTTTTTACGGATTTTATTAAAGATTTAAAAATTAAATAACAATGGTAAAATAAATTGCTGTTAATGGCGGACATATCAAGTGGGTGCATTGCCATGATATTGTTATCCTCGACAAAATAGTATACTTTCTCTTATTCTTGTAAATTGGTTGAAAGAATCGACAGTAATTTTCGCGAATTTCTATTATTAGAAGATAAAATTTTATATTGTAATTATATTTTTAATAATGTGATTACATTGTGCAGCAATCAAAAACTATCTAAAACAAATACAATTATACAGTTATATTAGTTTAAATATTACGTAATTATGTTCCATATTAATTAAATTTATATCAATATAATTATATTACATAATATATAATTAATGTAATCATATTAATGAAATACATAATGAAGTTGTATGATGGTATATTATTTCTTTTATGATCAGTAGAAATGTATATACATATCTAACAGTTACGATAATACTACGATAATAATGATATATGATGCTATTTAGAAGATCAAATCAAGGATTTCTTAAATCATAAAGCCTAAATCTCTTCAAGAGATATTAAATTACAATTCCAATAAGTTTGTCAACGAATAAATCGTAAAAGCATTCTTCTTGTTAAAAAAAATTAGTTTCTATTAAAAATCGGTTTCTATAAATGAGGAGATAGATCGAAACATTTTTATATTGCAAAAAAAATTCGGAAATCTACATAATGGCTTTCGAGCGGCAAGAATTAGCAATTCTAGAAAATGTAAAGATATGCGTTGTTTATATTCACACATAACTCAATCTATGTTATTTGATTGTTAAATTAACTAATAAAAATATTTTTGAGGATTACTCTTTCAGTTTTTAGCGGAATCAAAATCTTAAAACTACAAACTGGGATAGCCTTACTAAATCAATAAAATAAATAAAATTAAAACATTTTTTCTTATAAATATTCCTTTCTACATCTCTATAAGTTTCTCGAGTGATCTATCTATTTTTATATGTACCTTAGTTAACATCAGTTTAATGTTAAATTGAGGTATTCATTTCAGTTAATAAGAAAAATCATGAATTGCAGCTATGGGGAGAAATATTATGTAAAAACGATAAATATTGTATGTTGTATGATTAAATGATGAATATCAAAGTATCATACAACATCATAAAGTTAATTAATATTGCGTTTATTCGGAAATTACGATAACAAAGTAAAATTGACATAAAATAAATCTTTTTCTCATGACTACCATGTTTTTAGATAAACGAACCTGTCGTTCTTCGAAATTGACAGGTGTGGATCATTTATCACATTCTTCAAAAAAGAATATTTACGGCAAATAGCAAAAGGCATAGATATAAGAGAAACGGAAAAATATAATCAATGATGATTATGCAATGATCCAAATATAATAATAATGTACTCGCTGTGTATAATGAAAATACACTTTATGTATTATGCAAGATAGATGATAAGAGTTATCATATTGAATCAAAACGCTCACTTTAATATTTATATATAAATATTAAACTTTTTGCTATGTATATTTTTTGTTTTTTTATTTATTAGTATCAAATTTATTAGATAGTATAGAAGGTTAGCTAATTAATTATCTTCTGAACATCTCTTTCATCTTATTTTCACACTGAAAGTTTTCTCTATTTTAAGCAGGATTAAATTTCTATTAATAGATATTGCTTAGGAATTAAATAACTATTTAATAACTTCGAGTCAGTAATTCTAAAAAATAAATTCATGCATCTCTTCTCCTACATTTATAAATAATTCTATGAGTTTAGCACTTCATGTTATTTAAGTAATAAATTATAAAATAAGAAATTATTGTATAAAATAAGAAAATATTTTTATTTTTCAGTAAAAGAAAAATTTCACAGCTGCAAGACGTATTGAATTAATGGAATAAATCAAATCTAAGTTCCAAGAATTAAAAAAATTAACCGACTATTACAAAGACGCAGAATATACAAATAAAACAGAACAGAAGTAAAAGCATTGTCATATAATATCAACTACAAGCAACTTGATTAAGGACATCTCCAACAAAACAAATTCGTTTATAAATATAAATGAAGAGCTGTAGAGGAGCTAAAACCTGTCGTGCTTGTTGCGATACAAGCGGAGCTAGTCAGTATTCTTGTGATAAAATGGCGAGTCAGGTAACAGAGATACATACATAATTAAATCCATTCCATCACATTAGTGAAAATAAAGAAGCCTTATTACTAACATTATCATGCATCTTTTAGAGTTCTAGAAATGTAAAAAACGTACTGGCCGGGGAAGAAGAACCAATTCATAATGTAAATATTGGAAATATGATTTTGAGCACATTTAAATCTGATCCGGATTTTATTGGTCAGGTAACGCACAATAAATCTTATTCAAATAATAAATTTATATCGTTACGAATTGTATTGTTACATTAAGCTTACTTTTTAATAAACAGTAAAGGAATATAATATCTTATTGATTAGACGAGTAATACTACCAATGTACTAATATATCTAATATCATGCGACTGATACCATGACTGTTTTATAGATAGATGCAGCGACGGGAGAGCAAATTACATTCCAACAGATGCGAGAGAACAGCGTGAAGTGTGCATTATGGTTACAACAAACATTTATAAACTCTACTAAAGATATTGTAATATCAATATGTACACGTAATCAAATGCTCGCCTATATACCATGTCTAGCGGGCTTATATGTTGGTGCTATTGTCAACGGATGGAATGAAAAGTACTTCGAGGGTACGTTGATTTTTCTCTAAAATTCAGCGTATTATTTTAACGTTCCCATGTACCTACGCATCTTTCATCTACTCAATAATAAATCTTTTTAGATATGCCACGAGCTATGTGGTACCTGGTGGAATTCCAATCAGACATAATATTCGTCGATAATGACAATTACAAGATACTTGACTCGGCTATCAAATTGTTAAATACCAGAGAGGCAATCGAATCTCCTCCGATAATCGTAACTATTCGTAAACTCGGTAATGGTGTCAATTCTCTCGAATCAATTCTGAACAGCGACTTTAGTAAAGATAAAATTAAAAAGTTTTCCTGCGAGGAGGTAAAACCGATGAATATCATGGCGACAATGTTTCCTTCCAATGCAACACAATATTTGAATAGTAGAACGAATGTTCGTTACTATGCACTCACATATCCATCGAATCAGGAGGTACCTGCAATGTCGCCCGGTGACATTGGCCTATGGTATGGATCTTTAAGTTGGTTTTACAGCCTGCTCTTGATCGTACGTAGTATAGTTTCGCATGTTACAGCGATAAAATGTTCGAAATTCAGTGACGAAAACTTGTACGAGATAATAGAGAAGTATAAGGTAACATGTAAAAAACGATCAAGCCTTGCTCTTCGAAAATGAGCGAAATACATAATAAATATTTACTTGCGCTTCAGGTGTCGTGGGTATTTCTTGAGAGCGATATGTGCAACCAACTGTTTGAAACCAACATCTGTATGTATGATGTCTCTTCGTTGAAGCAATTCATATTCGGTGATTCAGTCATCAATTACGAAATTCACAAAGACCTCATCAAATACTTTAAAAATGCATCTATCATTCAAGTATACAGTATGTTATCATTTTAGTCACACAACAGGAAAGTCAATAACAGGAATGTGCATTATCTGAAGTTAACAATGGATTTTTCAGGCATAGCGGACTCAGGTATAATTGCTGCTTATCAACGGAATAATCAGATCGGATCTCACGGCAAGGTGGCTAAAAATATTCAATTAATGATCACTAATACGGGAACGAAAGAACCTGTGGGACCAAAATTACACGGCGAGATATGGTATAAACTCATGTGCAAGTGGTGCAACGCTGAGACATGCGAATCACCAAATTGTTCTAATTATCAAGCAAAAAAAGATACTATCACGAAAGAAAAAGATAATACCACGGAAGAAAAAGATAATGTCAACAACAATATAGCAAGCGCTGCTGGTCAGTATAACGCCTTCTCTTAATTAATATGTATTGCATGCTGTGTGGCTTACAAAGTATTAATAAAACAATAAAATAATATTACATTTCAGTTACTTCCACATGGCACTGTACCGGAGATTACGGCTACTATGAAAAGGATAGTGAAATCTATGTCATTGATAGACTGAAGGCTCTTATTAAATATAAAACATTCTATGTCTCGCCCACAATAATTGAAAACTTATTACTACGTCATCCGGCTGTATCAGAAGTCGTTGTACGATCTGTGCCAAATAGTGCTGATCGTCAACATCCGGTTGCTTACGTCAAGCGAATATGCGGAGCAGAGGTTTAAAGATTATCTTTTTTTTTTTTTCATAAAATCGAGTAAAACTGTTTATAGAAAGTTCACGTTGTTGTATCTTAGGTGAAGAACAAGGATCTGGTAAAATTTGTAGAGGACAATTTGCCCGATATGTACAAACTGCGCGGGGGCCTGCACTTCAAGACAAAAATGCCACATCTTCCCAATGGAAAAATCGATCGAATGCTCGTTCACCGTTATTAACGGTAACTGGCCGCCTAATGATTGGTGCTACAACAGCATTATGTTTTTTAATAATCGGTACAATATTCAAATAGATAATTTTTTAACAGAGTGTCCAAGAGAATCGTTGAATATCATTTTAATGACAGATTCTTTATCAATTTCAAATGATCAAGTGACTTTTAAATTACTTTTACATTACTTAAAATGATTTTAAAATCACTTTTTCATAATCAGAAGGAGATTATTCAACGAGATAATCATTTTATTACAATATTTCAGTTTGTTGTATGAATTTCCATAATTAAAATGATGTATAAGTGTATATGTATATTTCTATACTAAACTAAAATTAAAAATCTATTGACCAATTTAAAAGATAACTAATGACTGTAATTTAGATAAACTAAATATGATTGTAATTTAGAAAACTATTTAACTCATTAATTTTAATCTTGCAAAAAGTCCTTTTTTATTAAACATTTTTAAATTTACTAGTAACTAGTAAATTTTTAAATTTACTAGTAAATTTAAAAAGTGTTTCAACATTTAAGAAAAATTTGACTGAAAATTGTTTAAAGAAACTGTCATTAGAAAAAATTAACATGATTTCGGAACAATTTTAGAATAACACATCGAAATAGTTTAGAAATCATTAAACTCTTTAATAAGTACAACTGTGATATTTCACGATAAAGCGAATTGTTAGAATGAAATTTATTAGCCTGTAATATTTCGTGATACAATTGTATTTAATATTAAATATAATAATATAATAATAAATATAATAAATTAAATAAAATTAAATATAATAATAGCTTTTTCCATTTTGTATAAAAATATAGATAATAAAAAAAAATTTTACATTGTAAATATAATTACTGTTTTATGTAAGTTGAAAAGTAATAAACATACCCAAAAAGAGATTTAATTGTTATTATACAGAAATAATCAACAACGGATATCATCCGATCTACATATGTTATATCTCATAAATTTATTCCGCCATGTCAAATATCGAAACATGTCGAATTCCATTAAATCGAGTGTTCTAGGAATTTTATATTAAATATTCTTGGATTGAAATGTCCTTGATATCAAATTGCAGTATTATACTGCGAGCGGTAAAATAATGGACGTTATGATAGACATTCTTTTATGGCATCATTATCCCAATCGTTATCCCATACGAACGTTGATCTATTGAAAATTCATACAATAGTCGACAAAACGGCCGAGAAGTCCGATTTTCATATATGTCAATGTATTACATTGAAGATACAAAAGAAAAAACTAAATTGAACAAATGGTAGGTATATCCAATAAAAAAGAGTGAGATTGATGCATGGTATACTTTACTTATTGTAACTTCATTTTCGAGTTGATACACGTATAAAAAGGAAAGTTTTTCGACTTATATCATTAATAATTGGATATCCATTTCAAAAATTTCGAGGAGAGGAAAAAAGTTATTATACGAATATCTACTTGTGGCAGTTGTTTTGGACCAATGTACAATACATACATATATCGTGATGGACACTTGCTCGACGTCCTAAAGTGTAAACTAGACAAATATAGATTTTATAAAACGTGAAGTTTAAAAGTACACAAGAAACGAAAAGAAAACGCGAATGAAGAGTCCATGTTACGGAATTCTTTTCTTTGTTTCTATATTTTCACAGCTAAAAGAAAGATAGATAAGAATAGATGAGATCGCATGAAATGAACTTATAATTTTTATTTTTAAAGTCTTCTTGTTTCGGATATCCCTAATGCTAAATTGCAATATTAACCAAACCTGGCTGTCAACGAAGAAAAGCTCACAATAACATAACAGGTACGTCAATAAATATTTTTGCAATATCATTTTGATTACCACATCGTTCATAAAGAATTCATTCAGAATAGATATAGAAGGAGACTGAAAATATGTCAGCGGCAACGAATCTTTTCACCTCGATGGATGTGAGAGGATGGCGAATATCCGCGCAGTGTCACCGCGACTATTAATGGCAATCTATCGTCGATCATAACGTCTCGCATTCACGCGAGTCAAACGCAAATGAAAAGATGAAAGGCACCGATCAGATGAACGCGTGCGCGCGCGACAGTAGCCACCACCAATAAATTCCATTCCTCGATGTATATGTATCGTTCGAAAAACATCATCAATCTAAGTTATGATTTAAGCTTACCAAATTTTCAAAGAGACACTTTCAGATTTTTTGAGCTCTTAAAATTTTAAAAGATATAAATAAAAACAAATCAGTTTCTTTATATTAGAAAAAAAAAATATTAATAAGCATAATTTCTTGCATCGACGGTCGACGTAATGTGTGCAGCAGGAACATTACGTCGACCGTCATTTTACCCGAGCCACATGTACGAAGTGCAATTTATGCGATCTACATGGATACGAGGGTCCGATATCGAGGAAATAAGTCAGCGGATCAGGCTTGCCGTCCATTTATATCGGATGGTACGCGCATCGAAACGCTTTACATCGATTTGGGTCGTAATTTCGGCCGGGCCCCGGGAAAGTTAAATGCTATCTCGAAGTGACGGCCGGTAATGGGAGCGGATTACAATTTTCTTGTGCCTTGAGATTTCATTGAATATGAAACTCGCCCTCCGGCCATTCGAACGATAGCCCTCCCGCATGAGATTCGGGGTATGTAAAGTAGAAGTCATATACGGGGTGTTCCGCTTCTTTCCCTAAATATAACGAAAGGTCTCCAAACACGACTTAGCTTATATTTATTTATATTATATTATGTTTCCTCTAGGAATTCCATTCGTATAATGAAGGAAAAAATAACTTCTTGGAATTTCTCATTAACATTTTACATACATTTTAATTAAAATACAAAATAAAAAATAGGAGATTAAAAAGTTTTAATATATTGTATAAATTTAATTATATAGATAATTATATTATTAATTATTTAATTCGAAAATAAATATAGATCCTTAATTAAGGGTTTTCGAAATCTTGAGGCCTATAGTTAAAGAATTTTTAAAATTGATTAAATACAATCGTGTATTAAATAAATTTCAAAGTAGATTAAAAATTACATATTAATGTAAAAAAATGTACTCATCTAAAATTGCCCGAAGGGCAAACTTTTATTACTTCTTTGCATTATTAAGTTTATTTTCTCAAAGACCCTTTTAATCCTCATTTATTAAAAAGACTTATATTTTAGAAGAACTATTTCAAACGCGACATTATGTATTCATACTGTACATAATTAATAAAATTACTGTAAGAGTCCAAAATATGTCTTATTAAGGAAAGATTAATGTCACGTCGATCACCGAATCAATAAAGCTATAGCAGTGACTTCGCGACACCTCGTGTATATAAACGATATGCATTTCACAAGCCGGCAATAACAGTCGCGTCCCTTATATATAAGTCGGCGTCGCGACACCGAGCTCACTCGATCGACGCGAACTTCCGCTATAATGCGACTTGTAAAACGCACGAGAGAAAAGACGGTGTCGTTTAAAGTTTAAACGCGCCGTCGCAAGTTCTCGCGAGCGGATTCAACGAGCTCGCCGTTATCCGCCAAGTTCCATCTCGGCCCGATGTCCTCGCGCGGATTCACACCCGGTGTGCAATTCGTTCGCGTGCATCTAAAAACAACAGTCGGCTCTGTCTGTCGGTTCTAGGCTGGGCTGATACATACAAGGGAGGAGTCGTGTATGCGATGGCGACGGTCACAAAGCCGGACGAGAGCTTTGGTGTTAACGCGCGAAAACGAAGCGAACTTTCGCGCGACCGGCCGACCGGTCATAAATATTCCCGGACAAGATTGAAGCGATAAATTCGCAAACTTTCTCGATCGCCAGTGTTTTAATGGCCGCGACGAGTCTTTGGCGATGCCCGCCGCCGAATTGCATGCGGGACTTCTGACCAAAAGCTGCAGTAAAAGTGTGACTATCCTGAAACGGAACAGCGTAGTCGTGATGAATTTGGAGTCTGCATGCCTTAATTTCTATACAATAAATTGAGCAAATCTGTCAAGTTGTAATAATAATAATAACAATAATTGTAACATTAATAAAAAATAAGGATATCAAATTTCATACATTTAATAAATTAGCAATTAAAATATATTTTAGCAATTTGACATTTTTAATTAAAGAGGAAATATTTATATGTATAAATATTTTTTGAACTTAACTAATTTAATATAATAATTACATTCACTTGTAATTTTAAATTTAACATTTTAATTAAAAAAAGAATCCATTCCAGAATCCATTCATTGAAATCTGTTAAATCGTTAAAGTTAAAGAGGCCTTCTTTTATTGAGGAAATATTTGGATAAAAATAATTGCGATAAAATGTGCCGCGTATCATCCGAAGATCGGATTCTTGACACATAAAATGCACTTCAAGCGCCGATCATCGCCTATATCAATGTTCTCTTTTATGGATAACAGATTTCCACAAGTTAAGACACGAGAAGGCTTTTCCGAAGTAAGATTTTAAAGTGTTAGGGGAGCAGTCTGGATATGTGGGAGTAAAAGTGGCTCCGATTCGAGTCTTCGAGGGGAGAGTCGAGCGCAGTCTTAGATCGTCGAGAAGACGCGCGACTTTCACGCTTATCGACAACGAGGCGCAATTCCCGTGCAATTCCGATACGTGCTCCAATCGCAAGCTTTGATATAGGGCGAATCGATAGGTCACGAGTCGCGCTGATAGTCAGTTGCTCACAGGGGATTCAACAAGAAGGAATCTTCTTCCGGTTTGGCAACTCGCACTCCTGCGTCGCCTTTACGACCGGAAGATTAAATTGAACGACTTTTAATAACAGACGAGACTCCAGTTTTCTCAGTCTTTTTGGATCGAAGGCATTGTAAGGACCTCTATCAAAAACGCTTACGAAAGAGGATATGCTTGTTTCATGTGAATCACTTATTCTCACTTTGTACTTTTGTAAAAAGAACAAGCAATATAAAGTATAAGATAATTGAAAATTAAATTGATGCTCAAACATGAAAAGTATAAAGAATTAAAATTAATTTTAATATTAATAACATTGTGTATATAATTTTTATAAAGGCAGACACAGAATTTATATCTTAATAAAAATGCCTAGTTTTTCTCAAAGAGATTAAGTTTGCTTTTGACTTTCAATCGTTAATTCAAACATCTCTAGAGCTTTTTAATTTAAGAAAATGTCCTAAATATCAAGTACCGAGTATTCCGAATGATTTTGGGATCTATCGTGTATACGAGGTGTACACGATAGATCCGAAATCCGGTGGAAATTCATTATTATGTATATCGTAATGATAAGCGCAGGCGAGAGGACATCTGGGAATATCGTGGCATCAATTTCCATGCGATTAATAATGAATGAAAGCGCAAAAGCCGGAGCGAAAGGGGTTTCAGCCGTGATAATGATAAGGACACACGAGAGTGCAATCGGTGGTGCAACTAGGCACAAGCGAGCTAATTTCGACCGG